ATTTTTAAGAAAGTAATAAAATTATCCAATTTCCACAGATCACCTGGACAAGCTCGAATAATGACACAAATCTAACAAGTAATCCAAAAGTTACATTCTGATTTCTTTTTAATTTGACACAAATAGAAGTACATTTTATGTACTTTTAAATGTAGAAGTAAATATTTAGGTCATATTTTTTTCACTTTGGTCATTTTGGTTCACTTTGAGTTTCATGGGCAGTTTATAGCTTTTTAATGTTCTCACTTCTATTATCAACAAGTGCAATAAAAATGCATAAGAAATAAAACTGAATACAAGATATAGGCGTTTTTTATAGGCTTGTTGATTATGAATATAAAGTCAAATCTGTAAAATTATTTGTATAAATAGTGAAATAAACAAAATATGTACAAAGTTGAAAAAAATTATTTATATAATAGTTTCTCGATTTGGCCGAAATTCGAACCATTTTTGACTAATTTACCACAGATTTGAAATATTTTGGTTGGAATCTCGGTTAAAGAAATTTAAAATGGTTCGTGTCTCAGCTATGCCGATTTTGTTAAAATTATTTAATTATATCTTGTATTCAATTTTATTTCTTATACATTTTTGTTGTACTTGTTGATGATAGAAGTGAGAACACTAAAAAGCCATAAACTGCCCGTGAAACTCAAAGTAGGCCAAAATGAAAAAAATAACCTAAATATTTTTTGTACTTCTACATTTGTGCTAAATTAAAAAGAAATCGGAGTGTAGTTTTTGAATAGGTTTACTTATAAGTACCATAATATATACTGAATAAGTTACAAAAAGTTTCATCTGAATATCTCTAATAGTTCTCATAGTTATGAGGGAACATACAAACAATCGAACATACACAGGAAGAACTGAAAACCTCCTTTTCCTTGGAAGTTGATTAACGAACTGAGCATAATGGTTCCATATGTCATGTCAAGAAAAATACTGTAATAATCAGGAGTCGGGACAGGACTTGCCGGGTCGGGTTTCCTATTTTCTTTTCAATACTTCAACATCCCATAAGAGTTTAATAAAAAATGACAAATATGGTTTATCCCCAACCATTGTTTACCAAAAATAAACCGAAATTGTAGAAAGCTCCTTTGAATAACTAACAGTAAGATTTGAAAAATGACATATAAGGAGCAAGCACGGATGTCTTAGTGTTATTAGATATTAATACTATTATTTTAATATTAATATGATAGTGGGAGGATAATATATCCAGCATGTTAAACGCACGTATCGAAATTACGTATGCGGCGAATCGACACTTAGACCTTCCACACTTAGACCGATCCTTGAGTCCCAAATTTTTTATATATATATTCGTATTCTCAAAACCCCCATTAAACCGATGACTCAAATAGATTCATTATATATGTTGCGAAAAAATTGCCTCCGCAGTGGAAGGTCGATTCGTCGCGCAGTGGAAGGACGATAATCGAAGAAATTTCGATACATGCGTTTAACATGCTGGACATATTATCCTCCCACTATCATATTAATTAAAATAGTAGTATTAATATCTAATAGCACTAAGACATCCGTGCTTGCTCCTTATATGTCATTTTTCAAATCTTATTGTTTACCAAACTTTTTAGCAGACACGCTGTTCATCTACCATCCTGGCATCTCGCTCGCCGCAGGTACAAATATTCGGCATTGCGTCACACTTATCCGTCTGGTCTCTTCCGATTTCCCGCCAAATGCGCAATTCCGGCCGGTTGCGACTTGGAGCATTACCGCTAAATACGGATCATAGCGTACGACCGCTATTCGAGCGTGCGCGCGCTCCGGCTCATGGCATGCACACGTCAGCGAAGCAACATTCCGCGCGGCTACCTCGAGAGCGCGGGACAGTCACGAATTAATTAATCGCCGTCGAATAGGCGTTAGCGAATCGATCGTACCGTAATAATGGCGTTGCCAGCGATTTAAGGCCGACTCGGCCAGAGATATGCAGAGAAAGTCGAGAGAGCCCGCGCCGCGCGTACGCCTATGTCCGGTCATTGCACCGCGCGCAATTCCTTCTCCTTTTTAACCTCGCGCCCGTGATGACCGCTGCAAATGTCAGAGCGGAATTTCATCGGAATCGTTTTTCGCCGTCGGGCGATCGTCTCCTCGTATGCCGTCCTGACAGGGAAGTCGGAAGGCGCGCGTCATCGTCGCCGCGGCCGTCGTCGGCGTACAACAATAAACAATGAGGTCACAATGAGGCAAAGGGGACGCGACACCGAAGGTCAGGTGTTGTCTTGTCGTTGTCACGCGAGTTGCACACGCGTCCGAGATCGCGCTTTCTCCCGAGCGCGCGCGAATTCTTCCGGCAAACTCGGAGTAGGTTTCCCGAGTCCGGCCAAGAATTCGCCTCGGGTGAACAAGGTGAACAACACCTTGGTAATTTGCGGGGTTAAATGGCCTCGCCGTTAAATCGCCGGATTGAGGCATGTGCTTTTGCGGGTGCATCGTTCGACTGTTCAAAGTTCAGCGCTTTCACCGAATCGAAAGTTCCGTGATTAGCAGATAAACAGATAAGAGATCTCATCTCTTCGTAAACATCTCGAGCGAGCCTCGCGCGAGTGAGATTTTTATCCCTTGACTCTCGGAAACGACAACCCCTCTTGGATGCTGGGAAAAGTCGTTTGGTTCCTCACGGAAAAAAAAGATTTGATAAAATTAACTAAATATATATATCTGGTCGAATATGAACGATCCAGAAATTCCGATTGAAGTAACCCGAATTCTGTTTAAGTTAACAAGATTTTTGGTAGACTAACCAAACATACTTCAATCGGAATTTCTGGATCGTTTATATTCGACCAGATATTTGGTTAATTCAATCAAATCTTTTTTCTCCGTACTCCTCTTTGCGATTTTAATATATTTAAAAATTGGCGAAATTAATTGCTAATTAGTGTATAATCGTATTATATATATATATATATATATATAATTATGGGAAAAGATTTCACTTAAAGTGACTGCACCCATATATATATATATATATATATATATATATTTATTTATTATTAATAAATAAATAAATATTTATTTATTATTAATTAATTAATTTATTTATAATATTAATATTAATATATATATTAATTAATTTATTATAAATAAATAAATAAATAAATATATATATATAATTATGTAGTCACTTTAAGTGAAATCTTTTCCGATTACGAATAAACGGACCCATCGTACCTAATGCACGATTTTTATCCTGATATTCGCAAGAGGCAGTCAGTAAAGAAAGGAACTCTGAGAAAACCGCGACTGATTCTCGAGGTGTATTACCTCGCTGCGGAAATAAATCTCCCGGCCGGAGGAAGCTCTCGCGCGTGCGAAAGGGTGATTTAATGGCGGGGCGAGACGCGAAGGGTGCAACCTATATGCAATGAACGCTCGACCGATATGGAATTGACGGTGACCTTGCTTGCTGATGTACCGGTCTGCAAGAAGTATCGCGCACTTCCGTCTGGTCATTCATGCGCCAAGGCTGGACATGATCGAGAATGCGCGCGCGCACCCGACGTTTATCTATCGCTTTTAATTGCCGCTTATCTAGGGACTTAATTAACGATGACGAATATGCCAGAATCTACTACGTCCCAATTTTTCTATCGCCCGGCAACGATCGGCCGGTGAAACGCGCTCGTCGGCACGCGATGAAATATCGATCGTTACCCCGACGAATGAGAGCACACGCGCGCGCGCGCGCACTCTCGCGCCATTTGCATAGACGTTTATAAATAAATACATTTTTGCGGTAAATCGTGCGATCCGGTTTGACACGGCTACCGTGTGCGATAATCTCGGTAGCGGTTTATAGTCCGATTAATTGTACAACACTGTTGCAATTAATGAAAGCGCTCGCGGGTCGTGAGTTTATTAATTTCTGTCGTCAACGTGATAAATAGTAGAATTTATGTTTTCGCGTAATTGCTACAGTACGATAATTATTGTACGCGCATGTGCGTGCTCTCTCGCACTTCAAATAATCGTCCATCGTGCTTGCCTTTGGTGATCAATGTTCGAGTGCGCGCGAGAATTCATTGCTATAAATATACACATGTTTCTTCTGCCATTCTAACTATTGATCCAAACATATTTATCAAGATAACAAGTTCTAAGCGTTATTCCGAACGTTTGCAACTGTAACAGCTCGATCTTCTCTTTCATGTACATCTCTGGGCTTATAATTGCATTCTTCCTCTTTCCTGAATTTCACCTTCTTTCTATGTGCATGCATTTCAGAGAGATAATTATTTAATTTTTTCTTTAAAAAGAAACTCTTTAAAAAGAAACTCTTTAAAGAGCTCCGTAATAATTCCGGAACAAAATTAATGTTTCAATTCGACCATTACATAATCCGACTAGAAATTTTGATCAGATATGCCTGATGCAAAATGAGCCGGTAGAATATTTAGATGGAGATATTATGGACAAGGAAGACGATAAAAAGATCAAATGTTGATAATGAAATGTCAGATTTTTTTAATTATTAAATAAAATGATTAGATCTTTCATTTATCACACGAAATAATTCTTTTTGTCTACATGAGGTTGTGACAAAGATTGACGAGAAACTGATTAGGATCTGATGATGAATGCTTAATAAAGTTCTGATTACCATATTGGGTTACATGATTCATTAGGACCCGATGATATTACTTTATATAAATCTGATAACTGATCAGATCAGAGAAGGTAAGACTCTGATGAAGTGGAATAATGAAATGGGCCTTTAAGAGTCAAACACAAAGTTCACGTTATATGTAACAAACCTAATATCTAACTATCTCAAGAATTATTGTCAAGTGAGACTTATTATTGCAAATACATTCGTTCAGGCGTTTCGGCTTCACTTTGGACTCTGACCAGTGATAGATATCAAGATCAATTTTATCAGAACTATAGAGTAAATTTCTAGTCGGGAAGGCGATAATCTCGTAGCAACAATTGCAATTGAATAAAATCAATATCTCGCTCACCCTTGGCCCATCCAGTCAGCACATTTCCAAGATACGCGACCTTGTAGCAGGGATCGTACTCGGTTATCGACGCGTTGCCCCTGTGCCTCCTCCAGAGCCGACCCAGTCCCCTCTTGAGGGACCGTAGCGTCTTCTGGCCGAACTCCTTGCTGACGCCGATGGGCTGCATCGCGTCATCGGTCTCGTCAATGGGGTCCGCGACGACATCGCCCATTGTCTTCATCCTCGCGTTTCCCTCTCCCTCGCGGGGTTCTTCGTCGATTCTTCGCATTCGCTTTTTCTCGCAGTCACTCGCCAGTAAAATTCGTCTTTCTCGGCCGGATCAGTTGCTACATTGTGCCGCCACCACCTTGTCGTTGTCGTTCCGTCTGGTCGCCCGCGAGAAGGAGATCTTGGGGAAGAGGTCAGCCTCCTCTGTCGTTTTCTCCTTTTCTTTCTTCGGTCAGATGGAAGAGAGCTCCTTTCGAGGTCACGACCGGTGTCGGCGATCGAGAGAGGTTGCGAAAGCCGAATAAATCGCCGACGGTAAGCGGCCGGTTGACTGTTCAGCAGCAATGGCAGCAGCAGCAGCAGCACCAGTAGCTGTCATTCGCCGCCTCCAAGGCCGTTTCTTCTCTGTCGCGTTGCTCTCACGCGAAAAGGTCGCAGCTTCGTTCTCTATCGCGCGACCCCGCGTGTCATCTCTCTTCTCCTTCCGGGAGTGCCACCGTGCGCTCTTGCTCACCGGCCAGGTTCACTGTGCGATTCTGAAACAGCGGAGGATTAAATACGCTTTGATATGATAGCCCAGAAGGTCGATTTGTGAGATAAGACAATCGCTGCGCTGATATCACGTGTCTTGGACTTCTGTCACGTCTTAGAATCTGACGATCTCTAAGTTGCGCGAATAATTTCCTCGGTGAGCTTATTGTTGCCGCGTTTCACGAATATGCAAATCTTGTGTGCACTGCCGAGTAGTACACGGAAGGAGCAACTCCATTAGCGTGACCGAATCTTCCGTTGCCTAGGTAGGATTTTCCGAACGGAAAACTTGGTTGCAGCAGAGAACATATATACGATTGAAATAAAAAAATCGTAAGATCAATTCGTTTCACAAACGGATTATTCGCGCAAAATAGACATTGACGTGAATAAAATCTCAAAGACTCTTAATGTCAGATTTTAAAAGGTTTTTTTTATCTTTGCGACTTCAACAACTTCATTTTATGCCGTTATAGACGTTTCAAATTCATCCTTGGAACGTAGCAATGCTGTATAAAAGCCTCTCTAAAGCAAGAGGTCGAGGTATATAACAGTACACGACAAATAAATCGCAGCGTTTGTGACGTCTTGTAAAGATAAACATTTCAAATCGATCGTGTCGATGGTATCGCGTCTAACAAAGCGTCAATCATCTCTTAAAATACTCGCAAGATATATCTTGCCTCGTCGTATATTGCATGTTGGCGTTTGTTCCTTTCGTGAAAGACGAGGTAAGTTATTAAATACAGCGCTTAGCACCTGCGCTCTCGTGGACAGCTCCATGTGAAAAAAGACTTGTTTTAATTGTAATTACTACTGTTTCTGATTGATATCAATTCGATTTTTTCCTTTTGTCACCTTTCCAGTTTTGCGTCTGTACATGCACAATTAATGTCGTAGTCCCGCGGAAAACATTGACTCGATGTGAATATTCAGTTTTCGCAAAAGGACGCGGGCCAGGACGGTGAACTTGCGTAAGAGGTATCGATTAGAATTCACGAGGACGGGAGAAACGAGGTATAAAAAAGAATAGCCCACGGTTTGATGAATATTCAAATTGTTTGATGCCGCTCTCGCTTCAAGATCGTAGTACTGTGCGTGTGAATGCGCGTTCGTTCGGCCAGTTTATCTCTCCGGAAATTATGGTTTTCACCGGAAGTCTTGTGGTCAGACGAACGACCGCGTTCAGCTTCCCAATCTTATCCGAAATCTACTTATATTCGCTCGCGTGAGTGCATCCCACTTATTCTTTAAAAATCAATAAAAAACGGCGATAAAAGTCGGTACAAAATTATGAAATGTCCAATTGTCGAACAACTGCATGTAGTAAAATTATTATCGGGTAATTTCTTTAACACGTTGACTGCCAGCTACGAGATAAATCGTAGTTAGCCTTCTTCGCTAGGACGCCGACTACAATTTATCTCGTGGTTCTTTGACTTGCCATTTTCGTGCAGCTACGATTAAATTCGTGGTATATAAGTGTAATTAAGAATAGATGGTTTCTGGGAAGAGAGAACAAAAAATCAAGGTTGGCTTACATGAATAGAAAATTTATTGATACATGAACAGAAAATATAATCATAAAAAATTTATTCAAAGTGAAAATCAACAAGCAAACATTCTATATGCTTTTTGGTGATTACTAATAAGAATTTTGAATAATATAATATGATTAAATCAAATTGGCTTTTGAGATCGGAATCCTGAAAATTGCCGTGGCAATCAACGTGTTAACGTAGCTGTATCGTTAGGTATAGTATATTCAGTGGCGCATCAAGGGGTCTACTCATAAATCAAACGAAATTACGTACTATTTATCAAACGAAATTACGTTTCTATATATTTATTTCATTAAGTATTATTGTTAAATTGGAATCAAACTGAAGTAAATAACGTACATGTACAATATTACAAGTACAAAAAAACTATTATTTTTTATTTTTTATTTTTTATTTTTTTTTCACGAGTACTTTATTTTTGTGTATATCAAAGTTTGTCTAAATATTTATATATTTTAAATCCATAATATTTATAGTAATACTTGTAAATACACACATATAAATATTTAAATATGTGCATATGTGTATTTTGAGTATTACTATAAATTATACATTGCGAGATAATTGATTGTGCACTGCTGGAACATAGCATAGCTGAATAGCATATGCTGGAGCATAACACTAATGAATGACACACGATATGTCATGATGTTGTAAAAGAAGGCTGGCGAGGAAAAAACAAAAACTTCCGGACTCGCACGAGAAACATTTTCGCTTCCTGCAGTGGGTATTTTCTAGTCCTGAAACCGCCTACCATTATCCGCTAAATACCCGCGCATTATCATGTCGCGGTCCTGCTACACTGTTTACGAACATTGCTCATAATTGAAACATGTGCGTCCAGCGTGGATAATCGTTATTGTATAACCCGCATAGAGTTATGCGTCGGCAAGTGGACTTTTGTAGCTGCGTACGAAACGCGACTGACTTCACTTCTCTTGCATATGATACGGAAGATAACAATTATACGACGATGCTTTCGTAACCTTTTCACGACTACCAACTGCCTAGAGTTCGCATGTAAACCAAAACACGAAAACGATAACGTCGCGAAAAGGTCTTGTAAAAATGACACAGTTATTTTCTTTTCGAGAAAAAGCACGAGCTTTTACGGAAAGAACAATCATACTTCAATTCTTCCCGAAATCTTACGCGACTTGAACTTTAATTTCAGAACTACCAGAACAATCAAAATGACTGGATTTCGTGTGCTTTTTTATATATCCTCAATTGACGTTAAATAAAACTGAAAAGAACAATTAAACGTTTTTTCTTCTTGCATTACGTATTTCTATAAAATCCTGTTGTTTTCATCGCTTCGATAGTGATAAAAGTGCATTAAAAAAAAATATTATCCTGTTGCTGAGAAAAGCGATTATTTAGTTTACCTTTCTTCTCTCGAGATAGTTTTATCGCTAAGTACCGTACTGTCGGTGCTACAAAGAAGTTACTCACAAATTTATAATTTATTAAACAAAATAATGTTTCTCTATATGTCTATTTTGCTATCCAAATGTCACTGTTAATTTGACTGTCACTGTTAAACGACACTCTGAGATAAACATATACATATACAATATTACAAATACTATTGTTTTTTTTATTTACTTGATAAGCGCTTTGTTTATAGATCAGTTTATTTAAATATTCAAAAATATACATATATATTTATTACCATTCAGCTATATACATAAAATAGATAGTCAAGAAGGGGAAATATTCAAAAATATATAAATATTTAAATTTACATATTTAAAACTTAATATATTTACATATTTGAATATTTAAATATGCGTATATATATATACGCATATTTATATTTTCATATTTATATTTATATGTATATTTTGAGTATTACTATTAATTTCGGTCTTCCCACCGCTGTGTTTTGTGAACGAAATCAATAATGCTGAAATATTTGTACGTCTAAATATTTGTCTTTAATGTCATAGTAATTGTTCATCAAAATCTTATATGTAATTTAGAATATACCAAAATAGAAATAATAGCATAGCTGGCCTCAAAAAACACATGTAACAAATGTCGAATATCTTCGCCTGCGAATATCTCAGACTTCAAATGGCCTGTCTTTTTCTAATTTCACGTGCAGTTAGATAACATTTCACTGTGCATATAGTGCAAGTTTCATCCAATTTCGAAATCTGTTTTAAGATACAATTACCTTAAGTAAATGTTATCTACAAGAAAAAAATTTTTATTATAGTAGGCTGAAAATATATTCATGAAAATTTTTGGAAGATCTCATTATCTCAAAAGAAGAATTCATTTTCTTCACAAGAATATTGTAAAACTTTGTTGAACAAAAGATTGGTTTTGATTCGAAGTAGTGAGCAAACCGAACTTTTGTTTCAATTTAATATTCTCGAATGAAGTACTAAATTTGTTGGGACTCAAAATGTATTCTGAATCGATTTGATGAACTTATGGTAAACTCATGATATATTTGCGTACAAATTTGTGGAATACTTTGGAAAAGTAACATTTATTTGAATGTATTTTCTGTGTGCACTACTGATACCTGTTCTAGACATGTTAATCCGTTATGTAACTAAATCGTTTCCGGTGTAAACATCCAACGACGCATCGCGCTCGTACTATCTGTTTGTATTAGTCGTACTATCGTCGACCTCGAATTTCAGCATGCAAAATTTACGACCGGCGCGCATTAAGCGCGATAATGCGCCACGGCGCGGTTGTTTTTCTTTCTTTTCATTTCGACTCAGAACTATCTCGAAACTGGGAATTGCAAATTCTCAATTGTGTGTTTCCGCGGAACGCGTGTCTCACGGGAGTGTCCCCGCTCCGCCGGCTCTGCCTCGCGCGGCGCCACACACACTTATATAAATATTTTTCTCTCCCGCGCCACGTGAACGCATGTGGAGGGTGTGCGCGACAGTTGTGCAAGAGTCATTACTCGTTAGCGAATTCCTATTCTCAGATCCCTGATGCGTAAAAAGAGGCGTAAGGCGGCGACAGGTGTTACTATTGCAACGGTATGGAAATAGGATGTTTCCTTCGGTTAGCACAAGCTTTACCGATTGCATAACTTGCATCGTAAAGATCCGCGAGCCGGTGTGTCGGTGTGAGGAAGGAAAGAGAGGCGAGCCGATATTGCATCTCTCTTATGTTAATCGGATTCTCCTTGTATTCTCAATGCAAAAGACTTTTTGACGGAACCGGTATTCTCCGTGAAAAATCAGCTAATCCGAAGCGCGAGTGATGAGACGTGCGTCGTGCACGTCATCTCGCTCGTCTTGGTGCGGTTTTACGAGCAGAAGAGCCAGAGACTTCGCGATTTCGGGACGAAGCGCGAAGTAAATATATTTTCGCACAGTGTGCTTCTCGAGACCCCGAAGTTAAATTTCGAAAAGCCGCTGAATTTGCATCTATGTAGTGTCATGGACACACACGCACACATACAC